AAAAGGGGTACAACTCTATGGTGGTCAGTCTTCTTCATTATACTTTCCAGCAATGATCGGAACCAGGAAGACCTGAGGTGCAGGTGATGCACCTGGACCTGTCTCCCAGATGTTTTACATTCCCTAGGGCCCACATCCTCACAAGGTGATGAGGGCGTAGGGGGATCTAACTACCTTCTGAGGATGTGGCTGGAGGCCTAGGGATTACAGAAAGTTTGTTTCCTCTTTTGCGATCCCCAGTATGCAAAACATGCACTTGGAAAACTTCCCTGTCAGGCATCATGCTTAAGGTGCCTTCTCTAAGTTAAGGGGATGATTCTTTGCCCAAATCATGTGATAATCAAGAGAGGGAACTGACATCTGAATGGATCCAATTTTGGTATTGGGCCTGACGTGGCCTGACATGGCCACCACTTCACTGTGCAAGAAGAATCCTGACCACCACAAACGACTGTACAGGGCAGGCGTGCGCAGCCATAAGCGCCTGACACTTCCAGTTATATACATGTTCTAGTTCACCAAAAGCGAAAGGGACATGAATTGCACGAACGTTGCATACTTCATCTACTCCAGAACGTTCACCTATAGGACAGTTCCTAAATGTTTGAACTACCCCAGGATCATTGCAACGAAACCATCCGCACAAATTAGCTCCGAAGACGACCACCTAAACGACCATCTGGCACCATGCTACACACCCTACTGTTGCCAAACACAAGTGGAAACGTGTCAGATTCTACCAAAAGGATGCTTGGGGAACTCTCTGTAGCTCCCAACGGCTCCCTTTTTCATGGGGGGAATATGAATGGATACCCCCAGCTCCTATCTCCAAGCACCAGTTCTGAACACCCTCCAAGTTATTCTGATGTGTGCCCAACTGGGCAGGACTTCGCTGCAGTTGTTCCAGTGCCTCAGCTGCCAGGACGTGCCAGGAGCCTCACTTGTCTGGACCTAGTGAGGCACCATCGCCTCACGATCGCCCTCACGTTCCTGGTCGTTCCAGGTGCCTTACACGATCGCCTTCACTCCCCAAAGTCTCCCCACATCATCGCCCGGCTCTCTTCCTCTGCCCACAAGAGCGTCGACATCCATCGCCTGAGTGACGCAGCGTGTGGACAACATCGAGCCCAAAAGCCAATCCCAGAAGCTGTCGGCTTGAGTGGTGAGGTTGGTCCGTGAGCAAAGTCGAAACAAACATGACAAGTCTTCCTTTTTGCCTTTGGCAATTGAACCAGGGATTTTGGACTAGAAAGGAAAGGAGACTGCAGTTGTCCCATGTAGCTGAATCTTGGTGTTGGGTTCATTAAGGACTTCGTTCCAGTCAAAAATGTGCCGGCTTTATTTCCTGACGAGCCAACTCGAAGTAGCCAGCCAGACCACCAGACCAGCTTTGGCTTTGCGATTCAACCGTTCAGTAACGTCCAGTAGAGACTCTTCCTTTGTAAGCAATTGTTTGATCCTTGGCACTTTCCTGAAATTTCCCTTCTCCAGATGAGCTTGCTAAACTGCTTGTTGGGGGGTCACCTCTACCAACCATTGATGGTAGGTAGGCCAAACCGGAATCGGTAGACCATTGTCCCATAAGGTTACCCACAAAAAGGACAACGGGCTGTCCCGGTGTAGCGGTCTCATCATCTTCAAACACACTCAAACGAGCCTTTTTTTGGTACATCTTCTTACCTAATAAGATCTGATTGGTGAGCTGGATGGTCGGTGAGTCGTGGTTTTTGCCCATCTGTCTCTTCCCTGTGGCATCGGCTGTCAATGTTGAACACACCCTCGAGGCATTGATTCTTGTTCTCCTTATATTCTATCCCAATTACGCGTGCAATGGGCAAATCAAAAAAGAAAAACAACGGGCCTTCAAAGGGTCCAAGGACTTGAAGGTCAAACTTCTTGAAGTTCTTCAAATGTCAACAAAAAGAACACTGAGGTTCAAAATAGATGGGGATGATCCGATCAATCCATTTCTTTGACGACACAATAGGGCGATCCGATCAATCCACATTGCTTCTTCTTTCAGCTGTTCAAACCCACTGTCCGGACGTCCCCGTGACGGCACTGGATACTGTTCCTGGTACGAAACATGGGTGGGAAGATGGTCCCTTTCGTTCGGATGGCCATGAAATCCGAAGACCCAACAGGAGGGGTTCACTCCACTGCCAGGTTATCGTGGTTTCGGAGTAGATGGCACAACGTTACCCCCAAAGGTGTTGGTGGTTTAGATGGATCCCCATCTCAAAATCCTCTTAGGGTGCCAGTGCCATCTATTCTGAAACTACTATAGTTCCAAGATGCGGCTTGCTTTGCGGACCTTTGAAAGGCTCCTGGAGTGCCGACTCCACAGGCACACTGGTGTTCATCTTCCCAAGCAGGGCCGCACTGAGTGGCCCTGAAAGCATAGGGATTTTGAGAGCAGGTCGATTCATATGATGGCTTGAAGGATTGTTCAGCAATGATTCAAACTTTTTGTGGGTCACGCTACTGTAGCAGCCAAGGCCTTAGCTAGAAATCCCTTAGAGGTTCGCCCTCAGGGGCCAGTTTGCCAGGTGGATCTCTCCTCCATAACTCCAAGCATCACACATCCCACCAATGCATCCAACTGTCCATCCCACTCAAGGCAACAAACCTCTTAAACCACCCCAACCTCACGGCACTTCCGCCCCCGAAAACCACCTCCAAACCCGCCACCCGTCACCACCCTCATCCAAAAATGCTCCCTACCTGAACTCCCCGAAGTCAGTCAGCTGTGCGGAGCTCCTCCAAGTCTCGACCGATCGCCAGAGCCAATTCCTGTGGCAAACGCCTGGGATGCTCCTGCAGTCGACTCAGCGCCTGCGGCGGCGGCAAACCGTGCCGGTCCATCGCGCGGTCCGCGCAGCGCAGTTCTTTCAAGAGGGATGCCTTTGGTTGGGCTATACCTGGATCTTCCAACTGTGACACATGTATCCAGTTTCATCCAAACAACTAGCTAAAAGGCATAGATTTTGGTAAATTAGTTGGAAGATCCAGGTATAGATTAACCCGTGTTCAGAATCCACGAAGGCGTCTTGAGAAATGAACTCTTCTGTGACCTCTACCAAATGAAAAAAAAGGTTATGGATGGCAATAAGGATGCCTATATCAACTAAAACCAATTTTCTTTCACGACCGCCGCTCATGTCTCGCTCCACGCCACATCGCTGGGCGCAATCAAGTCTCGTCTCGCCCGTTGGTTCCGTCGACGGGACGGACATGGGCGCCTCCAGGGCTTTGGCATGTCGTGATCCTTGGATTTGCTGTCCAGGCAGCTTGGGAAAAAAAAAACACAAACCTGATGCGTCTTCCTGCCAAAGCAGAAAGGGTGATTTGATGTACCCCATGTATCATATGTTTGACTTTCTGGATCTCGACCGCGATTCACCCCATATAGGGAAAATAGAAAACATAAAAAAACCATACTCCTACCAGCACCCGACGACAAACAGGTCTTCGAAATGGAGGGTTGGGAAAGGCCCTAACTAAGAGGTCGAACCATTGGTGACCTGTCGAGCTCGGGTGCTGGGTATGTAAGAGCTAAGGATCGGCCCAACCCGGCCAAGAGACCCATGGACGCCTTCAGCACCTGCACCGATCGGAGAAGGCAACCCAAAAATCCCGAGGTGAAGTTCCGTTCACTGGAGGAGGTAAGAAGGGTGGAGAAGAAGGGTGGAATTTCAACATTGGTTTCTTCATATTTCTATCACATTTGTACTCTTTCTGCTTCTTTCTTTTTTCCTGTTTGCTTATCTTGCTTCTTTTTGTTCTGTTTTACTTCTCTTTTTCTTTTCTTTGCGTTGTTGGTCCCAGGTACCATTTACAGATTGGTGGGTATTACGGTATCCCTATTAATCAACCAACAAATAGTACAAGGATGTACAAGGCTATTTTATGGTGCGGAGGGCCTTTGGCCTTTGCTGACATCCCAAACCAGCTCAACATGAGACATGGCAGGCCTACGAAACTGCATAATGAGGCACATCCTGCCCATCAAAATCTGAACCTTCTTCTTGGACTGTCAGGAAGAGGATGAGCGGGAGGAGGCGGAGGAGGAGGTCATTGAAATACGGAATACGTCTCACACACAAGAAAAATGAGAGGTGGTGAGAGATTCTTCCCACACTCATTCACCCCCCAAAAAACGAATTCCCTGCAGAAAGACGGTGCCTGGACGGGTCCTGCTTTCCTGTCCCTTTTTCGCGACACCTCCGCTTTCCGCTTTCGACACCGCTCTTCCGGGACACGTCCGGGCCGCCGCACCTGGGGACTTTCCATGGGATTCGTCAGCAAGGCCTCCACGGCGCCCACGACGTCGGCACCTGGCGACATTGGCACCGGTGCCGGAGGCGGAGGCGGTTCCACCCCCACAGCGTGGGTTTCACGACCCGTTGGACCATGGCGGATGCGGATGGCGGGTGGGGTGGGTCAACGTGGCACGAGCCCATGTCATGGAGGGTGGGTCGGATGGAGCCAAAGGCCTGGCAGCCCATGTCATGGAGCAGGATGTCATGTGGAGCGAGTGGGTGAACAACAGTATGGGTTGGTAGGTCAACCGGTCGGTGTTGCCATGGATAGGGCGGGTGGAAGAGGGGCTCCGCTGGGTGGATGGCTGGTCCGGGCCAGCTTGGGTCGGGAAAGCGCCATGTGCTCCAGCTCAATCTGAGAAGGATGGGCATTCGATACATATATATATATATACATAGCAACCTACTTGGGAGTCACCCCTCCCAAATAAACATCATTTAGAGCTTGTAGCCTTGCAGCTTCTTGATTTTCATGGGTTGAAAGCGTTCTGGGGCCATCGATGGCAACCCTCTTTAAGTGAATAAACATGTCAACACACCAAAAGGAAAACAATGAACTCCTATCAAACTTTGGGGCTTGCCTCTACACTCCGAACATGGAGTCACCACCATACACCCGTTGCCTATTTGTTATATATGAACATCATTTGAGGCCATGATGCCAATGCCATGCATGACCCATGTAGCGCCCTCCTCCATCCTCACGCCGCTGCGGGCCCACGTCGCTGTCCGCAACGCAGCCTCCATCGGCAGGTAGCGACTCCAAAGGCTGCAAACGCTTGAGACAGTTGGTGCGCTTGCTTTCAGGATCCACCTTCAAGTTCCTCAGTTTTGCTTTCAGCATCCAGAAGCAAAGGGTCAACTGCAGGGTACCCGTTGCAGGGGTGCGAATTTTTGGTAAGGGGTGTCCATGAACCAACCCCTTGGGGTGACTAGGTAGATGTCATTAGATGTCTGGGATGCAGCATCACCAGCCCCTGGGGAGCCACCGGGAGTTCTCTTTTGATTGAAAGAAACATCCACATCGGCATGTGATGTCCTTGACCCCCAGTGACTCACCTAAGTATCCCACATGTTCACACGCTCAACACGCACCAAACACCAAACACTAACCTAACCCCTCCTAACCCCTCCGTGACGAACAGATCAGAGGCACTGGAGGAAGTGCGGAAGTCCATAGAAGTCCAAGAGCTTCAGGAGACCCAAACGTCGAATTCCGGCATCGTCGTGCTGCAAGGACACACCTCCGGGAAGCTTGGCGCGGACGTGGTGTGTCCAACGCGGCATGGTGCGCCATCGGTGCGTTGGGACTTTGATGTTGGAGGAACTAACATGATGGAGATCGTCGCCCTTCCACTGAAGCCACTTCACTGTCACACAGTGCCACCCTTTGGGATTCCGATGGATCAACCTACACTGCCCGAAATATGAAAGAATCATTTGAAAGTGGAGTTCACCCCACCTGTTTGTAGATGAACATGGCCTTCCTTTTGGAACACCAAAGGCCATGCCATCCACCGTAGATGAACATCAAACCCCTAACGAGTGCGACAGGTGGCACAACACGACATCCGACGATCCATGGGACGAAGAAAGGAGGGTTTTCCATGGTTTTCCAACGACGGTGGACTTCCCAGGTTGATGCCGATACCTCCAGTTCATCAACATACTTTGCCACAAAGATCCGATACTCTATCCGATACTCTGATGAATTTTGCAAGGACAAACCTGGCTAGGAGCCAATGCCTATAGGGTCCACTGGAGCACCACGTTGGATCCAAGCGCTCCAGTTGGTCAAGGATTTGGATTGTTTGGGTTGTATGAATGATACTCTCTGGAAGAGACCCACATGGAATGAACCTGAAAACCACTGGGTTTTGCGGCTTTGCTTCTTGTCTCAGTGCGTTTAGAGCTGTCTGAACCCCCCCAGCTTAGCGTGAGAGGTGCAGGAAGGTCTCAAATCATGAAAACCACTGGGTTGTAGAGGAAAATCTTCTTCACTACAGGTCCACTACAGGGATTCGGTGCGTCGCAGTCGATGGTGCATGGGGCCGGGCATGACTGACTCACATAATCTATCTCTACCCTCTTCCTCAGCTTCACCTTCTTTGATTCTTGAGATGTCTGACGGACCATGCACCAACCAAAGAGCTGTTCAGAAAGAAAATCAGATCATCTGACTGTACAATCCAATTCCAATCATATGGTCTTCCAAAGTGGATCTGGGGATTTTAGACCTCCAGAAATCGTGCCGAGTGCAAGTGATGTTGTTGCTTCATTCTCTCTGCTAAACCAACACTAGTTGGATGACGTGATCCATTTCACTAACAAATGACGTATTCAACGTGACCAACAAATTGACAAACAAGTAGTGAATATTAGCGAAGGGCTTTCCTGACTCTCTCTCTCTCTCTATACTACATATTATAGCATCGATAGCAAGAATATCTAGAATTGAACGGTTGCTGGACATGGGATTGACTCTGACCCAACCCTTTAAGTTTCAGGCCCAAGCAGCAAATGAGTTCCTCATGCCCCTTGATCATTTGAAGTGCTGCTTCTGCCTCCTTAGCCGCAGTCCACAACCGAGAAGCTCTCCACGTCAAGCCCAGTGAGTTTTTGGAGGGATGATTTCAAAGGGAGGCGTCTGGGGGCGTGGCTGGTGAACAGCTGGCGAAAAGCAGGTTTCATATCGTTTTCACTGGAGGCCTCAAAGAGCCGCGCACAGGCTGCACCCTCAGACCATTCTGTACTTAGACCTTTCTGGTTGTAAGATGTGGTACAAGTAAGATGTGGTAAGTTTCACGTGAGCTGAAACGACCAAGTCTAAGCAACAACGCGGTTTATCTGGATTCTTCAATATCGAGACTTTTCGAACGGCGTGTGCGGGGTTCTTTTCTGAAGGATATCCAAAGAAAGAAGGATACACTTTGTGAAGCTGTCTAGACATTGTGAACTGAAGAGATTGATGAAGGATGCCTCACCCTCCGTTGACCCGCCTTTGTGCCAGTTGAAACCAGTGTCAACTCCTTCCACCATATCCAAAGAACAAATCTTTGAGAACTGCCTAACTGCCTCTAACCCCCAACACACCAGTCTCTCCCCATCCAAGCCGCGGTGGAGCTCCCCCGGAGCCACGTCCTCGTGGCCTCCAGCGGCGCCTCGTGGCGCGAAGGCCTCGCGGCCCAGAGACCGGTCAAGGCCGATCGGCCTCGGACAGCGCCCGGAGCGGAGTGGAGCGAAGTGGAGCGAAGTGGAGCGGAGGAGGCGACTGGAGGGGAGAAAATGACAATTTGGACCAATCTGTTTTCCGGTGAAAAGAAGAAGGAACCACAAATCAATAAAACAAATTGTACAAGCGTGTAATTATATATATAATATTCCGGCGGTATAATATGTATTTTTTACATGTAAAACATAAGCTTCACTTCAACCTGCGTGACCTCGTGCAAAGACGAAAAGAGTCTGACGGTCTGACAGGTCTGGCCTTGACACAATCCTACGATGCCAACTCCCACAGAGGCTCCGGACAGACCCAAAGTAAACCTACGGTCCCACAAGACTTAGCAGGGCTTTGACAAACCACACCTGGCCCACAGGAACCAGCTTCCACCCACAGCAAGCTCCTTGCTTTGAGTCTGGTGGTGCGTCCATCGTTTGTATATCACTCACTGATTCACTGATCGCCACGGTCACCGATCATGCATGCAGCTGGCTCAATCTGATCCTACTAACATGTTCAGAACGCGGAAAAACACGTGATCAGATTCTGCACCTCATGAGATCAGTCTGGCTCTGGCAGATCAACAAAGCCGCTTCATACAGCAAGCTGAGTCCCATCGGCCCCTGGGTCTCCAGCTCAGTGGTGGGACCCAAAGAACTGTCTCATGTGCGAATTGAAAAGCACCCGGTGTTTGCAAACAAGAAAAGCACCTGTTCTTGGGTCATCTGCTTTAATCCAAGAAACATGCGTTTGCTTCCCCCCAAGAAGCATCAATTAGGGGGAATATTTACCCCCTCATAATACATTAGCGGGGAATGCTTTAAGGCAAACACAATTCTTCCGAAAGCCCCACTTCTCCGCGCCACATCCTCCCGTCCCACTTGCTCGACGGGCTTTCTTTCGGAACGAACCACTCCGAGGGGCGGGTCCAAAAGTCCTCGCTCGTGGCCAAGCCTTGCAGCGCCGAGAGGACCTGAGCAACGTGAGGCGCCAGCTGAGCTGGGCTGGGCTCGGTCGGGTCGTCGCTTGCGAGTCTAGCTGAGGTGCGAGTGACGGAGTGGCCATTAATGGAACTATAATGACATTAATTGGTATATTTGTCTGTACTTGTCTCCTCACAAGCAACATGTCCTACCAAAAGAGTTCTAGTAAACACTGGATCCTCTATCTCACGTGAAAAGCTTCGACGGACCTGTTCTGTGCGTCAGAACCTCTCAAGGATGTTCAGGCGTGATCGTCAAGGTCACCCAGAGCTATTTGGCCGTGTCTCATTCACTAAGAGATTCAGTAGAGAAAAATCGACCTTGGCTTTGTTTGTTTTGATGACCTGGAGGTCCCTTGTGTTTGATGTGTTTGTGGCGGAAAGGGGTTAGGACCTAGGAATGACAAGGTGTGAAGTATATAATCGTCGCGTCTAGTGGATTGAGAGTACCAATGGCACAGACCCCAATGTCGGTGGTTTATATGGACCCCCATCTGTTCAGGACATCATGGGGGAAACGTGCCATCGAACCTCTGAAACCACTGTAAGGCATATACTGCAGGTGGCCCAAGATCCCCCCGAAACAGCATCGAACCCAGCACGGCACTCCCAGGCACAGTCCCAGACCACATGATCATGTGTTGTAGATAAAGCAGTTCGTTCGCGTCGTCCGACCTTCTCGCGGACCCGTCGCCTTCTCGCTGGCTGCACCGACACCGCCGACCGCCTCACAAAGAGCCTCTGCCAAGGCCTGACTTGGTGGAAAACGAGTCGGCCACTGAGGTGGGTTGCAGTACATGCTGCATGCACTCAACACGCCTTGCATGTGACCCGAACAAGCTGACAGGGTATTGGATGAGAAAGGAAGGGAAGAGATTGGGAAGGAAGATCTTCCTTTTATCAGTACGCGTTGCCAGGGCAAATGGGATTTAACATTGTACCACCGTTGTCTGGAAAATGCGCGGGCCTGCATGGCATTTGGCCAATGTCCTATCCAATGGGTATCACTGAATGGGCAAAGTGCCCAAGGGACTGAACCAAGAATGAGCCAGCATGAGCAAACATGTTTTTGAGAAGAGAGACAAACAATTAGATCAGCAATAGGACCATTATGATGAGCGATAGGTGAAGTTGAACGGGTTGAAGAAAAGGACTTTTGGGCCGCTTAGTATTGCAGGAACATGGAGGCAAAACAGGTGGACAAAATTCATTGAGGGCGGCCTAGATTTGGAACATTTGGCAAGCAAAAGTTTGGCCAAATAAATCTGAAGTTACCTAAGCCGGTGTTCACATTAAATCACAATCGCTTTTGGACCGCGATAGATGTGCGACGAAAAAAGTATGCAAATAAATATCAAGTGGTTCAAATGCATTGCAGGCAGTTCTGTTTCTATTAATTACACATATTGGGTAGATAATAGCACAGTAAATGTATGGAACTGTTCCAACAAGATCCCAGCAGGAGAAGTATTCAATTACAAGCTAGTGCAACTAGGATAAACTCCTTCAGAACCCTTCCACCCAAGCCTGATCGCTCAAGCCACAGGAAAGCACGTCTGAAAGATATTCCTGAGCTTCGTTCGCACAATGGCAACATGCCAAGCTCAACTGAACCACAAGTCAGTCACACTTCATTCATACCAAGCCCCCGTCCCATCGTTCCCCCGAATTGCTTGCCCCTCACAAGATGAATCCCTAATAATCCAGTCGTACCTTCTCAGAAGTTCTGGACGTACACACCCGACGTTTTGGGCACCTACACACCACCGTGTCGAACACATCACCGAACCTGAGGTTCGGTACTTTTCTGGATGTTTAGCTATAGGGAATTGCTTAGATGTTTCTTGATGTTTTTTCCTCGGAAGCGTCAGGATATGTCAGGATACCGTCAGGATCCTCCAAGCATCATCCCCATAGCGTCGGAGAAGGATCACGGCACCCGCCGAGCGCACCTGGCGCAAAACCGTCGTTCGTCGAGTGCCGGGGGGTCTGCGAATATTCACGGCGCAAAGCTAGAGGTTCAAACAAGACGATGGAGGAACATCTTGAATTGACATGTTTCTTCTTACATGAATTCTCAAG